TTCTCTAACAGCTTTTGTTGTAACAAATTCTGCTATGGAAAACCATACCTAACACCTTGCCACCCTTGGAAACATCGTATTGCCACAGATCGTCTACAGAACGCAATACTTTACGCCGGCCACCTAGTCGTTCCCATGCAAAATCAATATTACGGCCGTCTGTCCGCTTTCCATTTCTTGTGGCATTCATGAAGAAGGCTCTTCCTCCTCCCATCATCACCTCAAAAGAAAAGGCTTCAAAGGCACTTCCAGCGATTACACAATGGTTTCCAGAGATAGATTCGAGCTGTTGATTGATCTTCTAAGCTGGATCAAAGCGTATGAACCCGTCTAAAGCTCGGCTCGATTGACTTTCAATAGACGAGGAGTACGCGCTGAGTAGAGACGCAGAGACGCTCAACGGTGTGAGCAAAGAGCGCTAAGAGATGTATAGCGTTTTCCTACGATTAGTGTATTGTCCGGCTTGTTGCAGCTGTTGGTCTAATTCGCGGCCGCCGCTAAGGCTGCTCCATATCTCTGAGACTGCGTTCTTGCTCTGCGGCAGCGTAGACCACGAGCGTCCACCAGCGACCATCAGCGTTTCGAGCAATTAGGAAAGTATGGATATCGATCTAGCCTCACCAGGGTCCAACAGTGACCAGGAGTAGAGAATATGGAGGGTGTACGGGAGGGGGGTAGCAGACTGCTAGTAGGGTATGGAGAAGTAGAAGGGAGGAGACAGCTGGATTAGGCGTCGTGAAATTGTGGCGTCTGCGACCGCAACTATACCACACTATACTTCTAGATTATGGTAGACGTTAGATCGATATCCATACTTTCGTGGTCCCTTGATGGTCGCTGGCGAACGCTGGTAGACGCTGCTGTAAAGTATGAACGCAGCTTGACACGCACTTCCGCATCCTGTCTCACGCACTATACGTTGGAGGGATTCTGGTTACGTCTTTAGACAGTCGCGCATCGCGTCTATGTCAACTCCAGTAAAAGAAACCCCAATATTCCAAAATATGTCTTCGAAGGCTAAGCGGTGCGAAACCTCGAAAATGTGCAGCTATTCGTTAGCATACCGAACTATTTTTGTGAAAATAGCCTCATTCCAAACTTCTGAGTTGTATATTCAGACCCACTGAGCAAAAGCACCTTAAATTCCGAAGCTGGACGGTGCAGTATTTGCGAAGCAATATCTCTCTTGCAGTGTGCTTTTAACTCATCAGGAATTTCGAGCTCTAACGATCGATGAACACCCTGAAAAATCATATTAAAGCACAATTTCCATTTCTTTTTGTTCAAACCACTCTAAAGTCACCTTTGCGTATAGTGCTGCTGGTGTAGCATGGGTGATTCTTGTATTCGTTACAAAACCAACGTTTAGGCCTGCAATTTGTTAACCTTGTTGGACCTCCTGGTTTAGACATACAACATTTCCTCTGGTTTCACAACCTTCAAATGTCCAGCAGGGAGTAAAGAACAATCATATCAGCGCTAATCAATCCTCTCTATGATGCGCTACGCATTTTGCCTATCTTCCAAATGGGAGTTGCATTTTGGTAGCGAGTGGGTCCTACAGTGAATTTCGGTCGCAGTCAATCTGCAAGTTAGTGAGTGTTCTCCAAGACATGTCTAGTGCTAATTTACTCGCCAGGAGGAGTCGAAGACAAATCCCGCGATTGCACACTGTGGGTAATGGTATGCAGTTGTGAAACTTCTCTGGGTGGCTCCTCACTAACGAAAGGGAAGCAAGAGTTAAAGTGATACCCTCCATAAGGTTCTGCCCTTCGTTTCATTGGCTGGGATGACAACCACGTATGAACCGCAAATTTAGTGTTCAACTTCTGAGGCTGCAATCATAGTGATCGCGCTAGCGTTGTATGGGCTGGGAGTGCGCTGGCGTTGTATGGGCTGGGAGTGAGGCAGCCAGCAGTCATGCCACTATACAGCCATGATCCCTGCAAACGATAGGCGTGTGACGGGAGTGCGGCTTGGAGCATTTCCATGCCAGATTTGCCACCAATTACAGCTGCTCAGGATGGCATCATTGGTGAAAAATTGCTGCTCTGGCTGCGTTCCACACGCCCTATCGTTTGCAGGGATCACTGTATCTGTATGTGCTGTGCAAGAACCCAGGGCAACTGGCCATCTCTGCTCTTCTAAGTTCAAGCCCCGAAAAGAGAGCTGTACTCATCTTTCTCGTGTCCGCTCTCCCTCCAGCCCTACACTAGTTGCGATTACCCACTATATATAATTTGCCCCGTCTGCTTAGATTAGTTAGTTAGTTTGTTTTTTTGTTTGTC